GGCGTCCTTAATATCTTGGACTTGTGCAGAAACAAACGGCTGTTGGCGCTGAACTTAGATGTTCGCGGAAGGGTCTTGGACAAAATCGGCCAAAACTTCAAAATTCAGTTTAGCGAAATTTCGTCCTTAAAACAAATTACAAGGTATAAATTCTTCATGTTCGGGTTAGCATAAATTCATATACATCAAGAACTGCAACGTGCTGGCATTCACTGAAACCTGGCTTGACCCGTCTGTTCCAGACTCTGCTATTCTCACGGGAGGATTTTCTATTCACCGTCAGGACAGAACAACGGATTCGGGTAAGAGCAAAGGCAGCGGGGTATGCTTCATGGTAAACAATTCCTGGTGTACAGACATGGAGATTATTTCAACATCTTGCTCTACACATCTTGAACATTTGACAATAAAATGTCGCCCTTTTTTTCACATCGTTAGTTCTCACAGTGGTGTATATTCCGCCGCAGGCAAATTACACAAAGGCACTGGATGAACTACACTCTCACCTAAACGGACACGAGAATACACATCCTGAGGGGGCATTCATCATAGTGGATGATTTCAACGGTGCGAACTTGAAAAAAAACAATGCCTAATCTACATCGACTGCCTGACGCGCGGAACAAACACGTTGGACAATGTTTACACTCCCTTCTGGGATGGTTACAAAGCCCTCCCCCGACCTCCTTTCGGCAAATCCGATCACGCCTCCATTCAGCCACTTCCCGTTTACAAGCAGAAGCTTAAACATGAGAGGCCAGCGTTAAGAACCATTCAATGTTGGTCGGATGAATCAGATTTTATACTAAATCACTGTTTTGCTACCACTGACTGGCAGATCTTCCACGAAACTGCCGAAAATAGTATCAATCTGTATACGGACTATGTTACTGGCTACATCAGTAAATGTATTGAAGACGTGGTTCCCAGGATTACTGTTCGCACATATCCAAATCAGAAACCATGGATAAATGGTGAGATATGCGCCAAACTGAAAGCTAGGACAGCTACTTTCAATTCTGGCGATATGGGTAAATACAAAAAATCCAGCTACGACCTGGATTTAAATACAACTACAGAGTTAAATTAGAGTCATATTACCATGGCTGCAACGCATGGACCATGTAGAGTGGTATAGGCACCATTACAGACTACAAAACGTAACCCAGCTATATTGCACAACAGTCTGCCTCTCTTCCTGATGAGCTAAATTCATTCTATGCTCAGTTTGAAGTCAGCAACGCAGATCCAGTCAGGAAGATTCCAGAAATCCAAGACGGAAACCCACTGATCATATCCAAAGCAGATGTGTGTAAAGTTTTTAAAAAGACCAAGCCATGCAAGGCTCCTGTCCCTGATGCCATCCCTGGCCGCATTCTGAAGGCATGTGCAGACCAGCTGGCAGATGTGTTCTCGGACATATTCAATCTCTCCCTAGCTCAGTCTATAGTTCCTTCCTGCTTTAAGAAAACCAACATTGTCCCTGTTCCTAAAAAATCCAGAGTCAGCTGCCTAAATGACTACCGCCCTGTTGCACTCACATCAGTTATCAGGAAGTGCTTTGAGCGGTTGGTCAAAGCATACATCACTTCCTCGCTGCCAAACAACCTAGACCCACTGCAATTTGTATACCGCCAGAACAGGTCAACAGAAGATGCTATTGCCACTGCCCTCCATACCCTCTCATGCCCACCCATGCCCTCTCACACCTGGATAAGAAAGGAACATATGTCAGAATGCTGTTTGTTGATTACAGCTCAGCATTCAATACCATAGTCCCCTCAAAGCTCGTCATCAAGCTCCAGGACCTGGGACTGAATACCTCCCTCTGTAATTGGATCCTGGACTTCCTGACAGAACGCCCGCAGGTGGTGAAGGTGGGCACCAACATATCCTCTACCCTGACTCTAAACACTGGAACCCCCAAGGATGCATGCTTAGTCCTGTCCTCTACTCCTTATTTACCCATGACTGTGTCACCAGGCATAACACAAACTCCATCATCAAGTTTGTGGACGATACAACAGATGATCACAGATGGTGAGGAGTCTGCATACAGGGAGGAGGTTGAAACCCTGGCAGTATGGTGCCAGGAGAACAACCTCTCTCTGAACATCAGTAAGACTAAGGAGATGATTGTGGACTATAGGAAACATCAGGGTAGAGACCACACACCTATTCAGATCAATGGGACTGCAGTGGAGAGGGTCAGCAGCTTTAAGTTCCTGGGAGTTAACATCTCAGAGGATTTAACCTGGACCCACCACGGTCAAGACCTCTTCTTTCTCCACAGGCTAAAGAAGTTCGGCATGCCATCACATATCCAGGCCAACTTCTACAGGTGCACTATTGAGATCATCCTGACTGGTTGCATCACTGCCTGGTATGGGAGCTGCTCCGCACGGGATCGCAAAGTATTGCAGAGGGTGGTGAAGTCAGCGCAGCTTATCACCAGCTGTGAGCTACCAAGCATCCAGGAGATCTACTCAGCTAGATGTCTGAAGAAGGCCAGGTCCATTCTCAAGGACCCCAGTCATCCCAGTCACAAACTGTTTTCCCTCCTACCGTCCGGTAAACAGTCCGGTAAACAGTACCAAAGCATTCGGTCCAGGTCCAACAGACTACGGAACAGCTTCTACCTCCAGGCAATAAGACTGCTAAATAGCCAACCTGTAGCTCCTTAGCAAATCACCTGTAATGGCTACATGGACACACAATTCTCACTATATCCAGCATAACTGCACTACATGTATATATTTCATACACCATGGACACATAACAGCTCTACTCACATTGAGTTTTATTCAATTTAAAAAATGTAACCTCAATTTTGTGATTTTTTCTTTTTTTGTGAATTTTTGTGATTTTTGTGATTCTTGTGAGCTCGCAGAAAAAGACATTTCATTGCCAGCAACTACTGCTGCACTCCGTATTGTTGTGCATTTGATAAATAAACTTTGATTTGATTTGATTTGAGAACTCCTTCAAAAAAACCTAATATACTATTATTAAAAAGAGCAGTGTTTAAAATCAATGATAACAATCAGATAAAATGTGATCATATGGACAATGAATCCCAAAGTCTTCAAATAAAAAGCCTGGATAATGTCCTTACTGGCCCTGTGGTTCTCCAGGAATTGAGTTTGAGAGCTTGGTAGCAGACATACAGTATTTACTAATGGGTAATCCTAAGGAAACAGACTTATTAGGCTTCCGAGCTATGAATGTGGCCTATTGTTATTGCTAGGATTGTAGCTTTATTGTTAATATTCTGCACAAACTCATGAACCTTCACGATTTTAAAGACATACTGTATGTGAATTGTGAAAATGCCTATGAAAGATTGTACGCTTTGGCCATTATTTTGAATTGTTTGCAAACACTGGGTGTTTTTAAAAAAATCATCACTTTTGAAACTAGTTTAAGTACATAAACTCATCATACTCCTAAATGCTTTGCACTTGCACTTCACAGGTTGTAGCAAAACTTCACAAACACCACGTAACATAATCTATACAAAAGCAATATTACACGATAAGAGGTCTTGTTGAAACGGCCCATATTCCCCACCACCACTTTCTCTTCTAAATGTGGATTGGAACAGTGATGTGTGTCCGCAGCAGTTCATTGTGAAACTTAGACTTGAGCTTTCTTGGGAGCTTTTAAAACTGCTCAGCTTTAATATTGTTGAGTGTTTATATTTTAATAATATGGGTAATGTCATGAGGCAGTATATGAATATGCAGGGGTTTCATTGTCTTATCCACTGTGTTTAATTAAGAAAAGTATATCACTTGATACTTAGACAGCTGAGACATTTCAGCAGATAACCAGTGTACAAAAGTAGTCTCTCAGTCTGAAGACCAGATTACTAGACATCTTATAAGACTGGAATTGTTATTTGCTGCAATTTGCTACTGTAATTGTTATTTGCTCTGAGGCTAGAATTTCCAGAGGATGCCTTAGACGTGATATAATCATGAGGTGCACAAAAATAAACTAGAACAGCAGGACAGCAGGTGAAGAAGTATGAAGATGACACAAGACAGAATGGGTTACACACTTACAATTTACCTTAGGCACTGGACTTCAGATATTGGACACTTAAGGAACTTTGCCTATGTTAAGGAAAAGGTACAAAAGAGACCAGGCCATTCAGCCCATCTAAATTGTTAAGTTGCTAATAACTGACTCAAGGACCTCAATTCTTAAATGATGTCAGTGTATTGGCTTTGACAACAGAGTATCATGTTTCAGAACTAGTAAAAGATAATTGGATATAATAGTTGCAAAAATCCTCCGGTCTCACTAACATGCACTGATGTTGCCAATAGAGCAGTTGTGCTTTCAAATGGATTCGGAATTGTGGCATTTGTAACTATTAAACAATGTTAATGATATGGTGAGAAGCAGTTTCATATAACTACTGTACTAACAAATACATTGTGCTTTAACCTTTTAGTTAAAGTTAATAATTGTTAATAATTGTACACCAGGGGTCTCGAATCTCTGTCCTGGATGGTGTGTGTGTGCAGGTTTTAAATTCAGTTGGGATTCTAATGACCTACAGTAGATCATCTTAAATATAACAATTCAACATCTTCTCCCAGCTCTTCAGATGCATATGATGTGGCATTCTTTGATGCAGTTCGGAAGAACCCTGCCTCAGACCAGACAGTAATACTGAAGATTTACTACCACCTAGTGTCCAGGCTTCATTCCAAACACCAGACCAACTGAAGAAACAACAAAGCAAAAGACCATTCAAGAAAAATGTTTCTTGTCTATGCTCATATAAGCCTAAACACCATTTTCCCCCAAGAATACTCTGTGAAAAACCTGCTGCAGCTAGTCCTGAGAATTTTTGGAAAAATACTTTGTTGATGAGACATCTATAGCTCAATGAACAGCATGTACAGTAGCAATATATCTGTCTCTACTTTGTACTGCAATTTAAAATTAGTCATTGGAGGTTTTTATAGACAGAACAGACAAAGAACTTTCTATTTCTGAATTTATTTGACAGATTGCAATTTAATCAAAACTGGTTATAAAGACTTGAAACTGAAAAAGTACACTGCACAAACTGCCCCCCCAAAATCTGAACCTGCCCAACACATGCAAAGATGTTGCCAATTTGTAAAGATCCCACAAAGTGTTACAAACGCTGTGCTTCTGTTCTCTAAGGATAACTGTTTCACTCATTCACTACAGATAGGTTATACACACATTACCTGAGACATATATGCATACAAAACATTTTCTTACTGTTTTAATACCAGATTCTTAACAAAATATACTTTTATGCATATAATATTCTAACCACAATTCAGTAAGGCAGATATTAAAGGCAAACCAAATACAAGCAGAATTATTTTACTGTAGATCTACTGTAAGAATAAATTTGCATAATAAACCATTATTGTACAATTTAGCACTCCAAAAATGTTCTTGTAATGTTTCACATAGCCATGTGCAATAATGGCAGAGCATTATTTTGTTACACAAAAGAATGTTTTCATTTTAAATGTACCATATGTAAGTATACAGCACACTATTAGATGGTTAAAAAATATTAAAGTTCGACAAAAAAAATGATTCTGGTTACACATTTCTATATGTTTGCATGTTTTATGCATTTAAAAAAAATCAAAAGCAGAGGAAGTTAATTTTCAATGCTATTTTTAGATGCCTTCTAATTATAAATTTATTTTTTTAAGTATTTAGGTTTTTATTGAATATCAGGAATGCTTTGAAGAGTTACCTTTGTTCTGGTTTAATTGAAACAGGAAAGGTATCACCATAGCAAATTTCTTTTTTTTGATGGGTCTTGTTATCATGGACTGGGAACAGCTTACAGTACGTTTATGGAGGAATAGAAGTTATTCATACACACAAGAGAAATGCTGGACTGGACCCACTAGTTTGTAAATAAGAATTTTTTTCACATACAACAAAGAAAAAAGTACCTAAGAAGAAGAGCTGATGGAGTAAATCAAGAAAGATCATCTCCTAGAGAAGAAAACACAATTAAATGAAGACTAATGTTACATAAAAACAAAATAACAACAAAGAAATGGAATTCAAAGGCCTTGCCTTATAGGTTTAAAACAAAAAATGAAATAATCTGGCATTAAATACAATTCATACATATGACAAACACAGAATGGATAACTGTTTTCTGAATCAGAAGTTAACAGTTTTTCTTGAAAATTTTTAGGTGTAAGAATTCACACTCACAAAAAAGACTCCCATCTGTAGAAATCTCCTTGTTAGTCTGCAAGTTGTTTTACAAAACATTTACCATTCAAAGACTGTCAACAAAGTTGTAAGTGTTACATATTTTCTAAAATCCATTTCAATAAACAAACCATGTCAAGACAAGTGTATTCAATTATAATTATATATTTACTGATCCGTTTAGCAAAATGAAACCATGTTCATATCACATATTTAGCAATTCTGCAGAGAATAACTGCATTGTAAAAGTTTATCATTTTAGTATTCAACAAAAAGACTTCATAAGTGTGGACTTGCCAGTTTTTAGTGGACACATTGAGATGAAACGTTCTATGAATCTAATCAATTATTTGGTCAATTCACATATAAAAGTTGTTACTGACAGCTGTAGTGTGGTAAATGGTAGGCTAGATTTGTGAATGAAACTTCAGAGAACGACAGTACACCTGTTTCGCAGGACTGAAACATCAATGTGTTTAAAAAGTGGCCAATAACAGGACACAGTTCTTAGTTGTTAGGTAAGAAGCTGCCTGATCTCTCGGTGTACGTAGCACAGGAAATCCATATATGAAGCTCCTCCATGTAAACCTTTGTCTTCTACAAGGAACTGACGGAAAAGCATCTCTGGTTTATCTTTCTGCTTAACTATGACAAGCTGCAAAAGAAGATGTTAAAGCTCATATTAACATAAACTAAGGTTTCTTGCCCTTCCATCAAGCTTAGTTCTCATTTGCATTAGGTCTTCCAAATGTAAATGAAAATACAAAAACACAAAATACAAAAAGATCAATAACATACAAACATTTTAAAATTGTACAGTATGTTACATTTTTTAAAAACAAAAACTATTTACAGCAAAATAGAATTATCTTCTTCATGCACACTGTGCTATATTCTAATCACGCCCTTGAATGAAGATTACTTAATCCATGAAAGAAAAATGGAAAAAAGTTAAACAAGAAAATATGAAAGGGCCTGTTTACAGACTTTACCGTAATTAAGTCATTAATTAAAATACCTTCATTGAATGAGGCCTTTGCAGGGTGATGCAGTCAATAATGAACCTGAGCTTCTTAGAGTAGGGATTATCTAGTTCCGGTAATGAATTCTGAAAAATAAAAATTAGGTTTACTTACTGAGAGCCATTTCAAGTGCAATAATCTGTATTACACTAATTATGTTAAAAGTGTATTTAACAATATTTTAAGATACACAAAACTAAATAACAATTAATGGTTTTCTAAACCATATATAAACTGTTTTATAAATTTAACTGCACAGGGAACATGGAATTTACAGTACATTACACATTTTATATAAAGAATTTAAATATACAAGTACCAGTAACTTGTTGGCCTGAAGCTTTTTATACTTTATATTTATTTATATTTATATCTATTTAATGTTAGCTTTTTAAAAAAACTTCTGACTCAATATACAGTACTACTTTAATTCTAGTAAAATGTATATATCTTAAAATTCAGTATCTAGTGTCAAAAACGGTACAGCATACTAGCTGCAGCAATTAATTTAAATGGGTACTGTACTTCATCATTTTGTATCTAAATGCTGCAGGAAAGGGAAAAAGTTTGCAAAAATTGCCAAGGTAAAGAAATGAACACATATCTGCAAAACTCTAAAAAGGCCATAAAATGTTTTTTAATGCACACACAGAGATCCCAATCTCCATATTGTGTATGTTTCTGTCAGCTGGAATATCATGTACCATTTAAACCTTATCACTAGACAGATAAGGTCTTGGTTAATTTCCACTTTTGTATTACATCTCATTTCTCTTCATAAAATCTTTATATATTTATCATGCATTCAGCTTATCTTGTTATATGATCTTTCAAAATCAGAAAGAATAGGTCATACTTCCATAAAAAAATACATCATTTCGCATATCAATTTTATTCAGACAATAATATTGAAGGTGCCAATAGCTTTTGGTTTCCTGAAAGGTATACAGACTACAGCAATCAGTGCAATTTGCCCTTACCAAATAGTATTACATAGAAATGTGTTCCCAACAAACTCTTTGATTGTATGTTTGTATGTATGTATGTTTAATTTGTACTTGTATGTTTAATTTGTGGTGTTTTATAAGCAATTCAATAGTTATTACTCAACATATTTAGAAAATTATTTTAATGATTGCCTGATCATTAATCGGTAGCAAATACATACAATCTTCAAGGGGAAAGTTGATACTTTAGATGTAAAAATGGAGATGCCATTGGAATAAACCACAGTAGCACCAAATAAACCTGGAACTCATATGTGAGGACCAGCCAGCAGTATTAGCCAGTGTGACACCCAATGTTGTCCTTAAGACTTGACAATATAATTTCTCCCCTGCCATCTTCTCAACAAAGACTTGACATTTTACCGCTTCTGTGCTGATGTGTGCAAATGATGGCACGTTGAAAATGCTCTGGATGAGCTCTGGAGGACAGGACTGGCCCAGCCACAGGAACATGTTCTGTCCATTCTCCAGCAGAAAAATGCCTCCATCAGACAGTCGCTCTTCTGAGCAGCGCACAGGAGAGGGCATCACATCACTGCTCACATCCACATTGTGCTGGCCAAATAACAACACATTTATGTGGCATTTCTTACAAAAAGGACATTATCTCACAATTATATCAATTAATGTAAATTATTTTAAGATAGCAGTTTAGAAGCAAGCACATAAAAAAAAACTAAGAGGGACTGTTGTGCAATATGGAGTGTTTTATGAATTTCTAAAAGATTAAAAAAAACATAATGGCTTCCACACTTGGTAATTATAAGCAGATTTAATTTAATCTAATTACAGTGCATAACGGAGATCATTATCATACAATCACTTCTAAGATGATAAATAGCTGTATTTAACTCACTGATTTTAAATTTTTAAAAAAGGATACAGTAGACCACTAGTTATCAATATATTCAATTATTTATGCATGATAAAAGTACAGAAGAGTTATCTTGCATTTAGTCTCTCAGCTTTGTAGAATGACACATCTCTCTCTGTGTATTTGAAACTGTGAAAACACTTTAAACAGGGAAGCCTAGTAAATATTGTAGAAGGGCAGCAGATGGAGGCTCTTGTCTGAAATCACATTACCCAGAAGGCAATGGTGAATGGCCTACCTGACCCTGCAGAAGACAAATTGTTATAATGAAAAGGGTAACAAGCTAATGTCTGCCAGCAGGCAGAGCCTGTTGCGTCAATTTGGAAAGTGTATAGTTGTAAAGACCATTTACTCACAACGGGCATGAGTCTTGGGTAGAAGTAGACCTGGGTATCTGCCACATCCATGGACATGACCAGCTGTCTGTGATAAGCTCTTTCATCAGTGGAGAGCTCAGGGCTTCCTACTAGGGCAGAGCTCTTCATCAGCCCATTCATGTACACTGGGAAGATCTTCATTGCATCTGGTAGGATCAGCTGTGAAGAATCGAAGGCAGTGCAGGGTCCATTAATTTAACAAAACGTAATGTTTAAAAACTATGTCATCGAAATGACCATGCTGGAAGAGTAAAAGCATACTATACATCTTGAGCATTAAAAGAAACATTGTGAAATGTTGGCCTATTTTGATCGATAAGCTCTTTCTGACCCTGATACACTCAAGTGACTCAGACATTTGTACAGGCACTAAACTGGATCTTTAGTGAAGAAGCTGATTATATACAGTACAAGTGATGAGGTGACTTTAACCTTGTGGAAAAAAATATGCTAACATACACAAAGAAAGGAATTCATATTCTCCGCTTAGTAACAGCACACCACCTTTTTGTGGCATTGGTTTGTTGAACCATCACCAAAAGTGGGCTTGACTGAAAAATCTGAAAAGACCACCCTCTTAGCAGTAAGTATGACACAAACGTGCATAACAACATGCTAACTGCTGCATACAAACAGATCAATCAATGGGGAGTTCCAATTGTGCTGATATTTACCACAGTGTCAAAAAGCACTCCAATTGCATTGATAGATGAGAACCTGCCTTGAGAATGCTAAATTGGTTACATCCTATGACCTCACTAGCTGCCCTTCCTATGGACTCATCCTGATGTGACAATGTTCTGCACATCTTTGGGCTGTTCTTATTAATTACTTACTTGTGAGACAAGAACGGGGACGACACAATGAATTTTCCAGCCATATCTGTTGAATATGGTGTCAACATACGTACACTACCAGGTAAAAACATTTACACTTTTATAACCTATAACAATAGCCTGACAATAACTTTGTAAATCTGTTGCAGTTATAAGTGATACAGTATATTTCTCCTGATGCTCAACATATACAAATCGATTTGGTTTCTCTGATTCTGAAGCATGTACTGTAGATCAACCTAGATGATCAATTACTTTCTTCATGATAAAGGTACAACACAAAGGCCTGTGAGACAGAACCCTAAAGCCTCTCCACAAAGGACTGATGAGTAATTAAAAAGATTTTAAAAATAAAAGTAAAAAAAATATTCCTCACAAAAGAAATACCATGCCTCTAACCTTAGTGCTCAAAGCATAAATTCAGAAACTTAAATCAGAATAAAAATCAATATGAAAAATGCATTTCTACTTGAGACGATTCATTTATATTTGAGCTGAAAAGATTCTGAGACAAAAGAAAGAAAACCTGAGGACTCATTCCAAGTAAGCTTATTTTAAGGCAATAAAACCAAACCAAACAAAACAAAATGCAATCTGTTCATACATTTGCACAGATTCATACATAAGAGGCAATCAAACTAAATAGCCTTTATTTACTGATGCAATAACAATTACAGTATGAAGCACAGCCTGCAGCATGTTATTGTAAGTTTATGTAAACATGCACACAGTATTTGTATTGCTCAAACAACTAAATCTTGAGTGGAAAAACAATTATAGATAGCACGTTTTCATAGATGAGAGACAATCAACGGGAAGATTGCAATTTGAACATTCTTTCCCCTGGGTCAGATAAGTAGTATGTAGAAGTACATACATTAGATGGTACAGTATATACTGTAGATGGAAACTCAACAATGTTACTAACATTACAAGCAATATGCCTTTGAAATGAGAGGTACTGTATGTAAATCTCATCCTTTACGAAAATACTGAATGGAACTAAAATACAAAACATCAGATCTATATGTGTAAATAGATTTTTTTTACCCATTACGTGCAGCCAATATGGGCACAAAACTAATAATGAAAAAAACAGTCATCGTTATCCTGGAGTCTAGAGGCCCTGAGAGTACTAAAGTTTTGTCCTCAGAAAAAAACCCATTAAAACTCTTACAGTGATCCATTTTCTATAAGCATATGCATTTTATCTAAGCACAAGCAAGACTGCTCAGTCAAAAGATTTCTGCAATTTTATATTTCAGAAAGCATTACAGCAATTATAGATTTGGAAATAATTACGGAAAGCAGATATAAAATGCAAAAGATACATTAATACCCTGGGCATCTAAATAAACTTATTACTTATTGATTATTACAAAATGCCTATTTTCATAGCAGGTGCACTGTTTTATGGAACAGGCATGACAGATAAATACAGTACATTATGCTGATTAACATCAATGTTAAACAGCAGGGGGGTCTACAGTGCAAGTCCCAGCCTAGCTCTGCAAGTGGGGGTGAAAAAAACGCAAGCAACAAATCTGCAACGCAGAATTTATACCAGTTGGCAGGACCGTGCGGAATTGTTGTTTTATTCCTTTTGCTGAATCGAAAAAAGGCAAGTGTCCGTTTATTGAACTTTTAGCCCTTATTGTCACACACCTTTCCAGTTCGTCCCACAAATGTTCAATAGAGCTCTTAGTGATTATGACATCCACAGACTTTAAAATGGGTAATCTGACAGTTTTCAGTTATGCAGTTATGTATAAATTCCTTAAAATAAACTGATCTCTCATGAAGAGACAATTGCATTTAACAATTGAAATACTGTTAACTGTTACTGCTAATCTACTGTATTAAAAGAAGCTAACAATTTCCTTTCCTTCAGAACCAACCTCTAGGGTAGCTAACTCTCTGAGAATCCATACAGTATGTTTAGGCTGCTTAGTGCTTGTCTACCACTGGCTTTTTTACAGTCCTTCTTCCACTTTGAAACCTAATAAGAAAGGCATACATTGGTTAGCATTGTCAGATTCACAAGATTTAAGTGATCTTTACATTACCTGTATCTTTATTAGGAACTGGTTATTTTATCACACACATTTTATATGGGCTTGAAAGATATGTCTTGGGTTTCTAAAGCTATCTTAACAGACTGTCTTTTAATAGATTAAAAAAATAACGCATGGATGTTTTTAAAAATACTCTAAATTTGTCTACTGTTATTCACAGTACTAGGTAACTCAAACCACTATTTACTTTCTAATATGGTAGCCTGAAACTGTTTTATTAGCTGTTAAAGGCAATTTCTAAGAAAGTGAGAAATTTCACAAATAATTACTGATTTAGCAAACTAAATTAAATGTGTGCTTTTTCATCTTTTATTTCTCTCATTTGCATTACTGTGAAAGGGCTAAAATACCTTGTTAAAATGAATGTATTTGATATGTATACTGTATGGTTGTGTCACTCATCAGTGACTGTCTTGAACAGTAAGAAAGCCATCTTTCTTTATGTTTTGAATTCACTCAACAGACAACAGCAATCCCAAAGTAAGTCTGTCAGCAGAATCTCTGCTGCCCAGAGACCTGTAGGTAACGACTATTAAGTTCTGAGAAGGCTTAACTCTGGTATCATGTTTGTAATGCTCAGCATTAAAACTCTTTTTAAACTTGAACCCTATCCATCTTTTGTATCTGCTTCATATACAGCTGATTTGACAAAATCCTGCTCCAGTATCTAAAGCTCATACATTCATTTTCATTACAATCCTTACCGTTCATCCTTCAATGAAGACATATTTAATAATAACAACTTTATTTTGTTAATACAACTGTCCTCCATGATTGTGCACTGTTAATACAGTACTTTCCAACTCACTGAGTTGTAAACTGTGAATCACCTCGTATAAGGCATCACTTAAAATATTAATAAGCATCAGCATATTTCCCAAAAAAAGATACCTCCACCTAACAGAGGAATGTAGTACATATATGTTCTCTTTTGGTGCACATCCATATTTTATCGTAATATTAAAAAGGTCTTTTCAATTTTTACAACATAAGATCTTTCTAGAGCTTAAACTCAGGAGCTTAAGGGCGCCTGTGACTGGAAGGTTGCCGGTTCAAATCCCGCAGCCGGCAGAGAAATCCTACTCCATTGGGCCCCTGAGCAAGGCCCTTAACCCCAACTGCTCCAGGGGCTGACCCTGCGCTCTGACCCCAAGTTTCTCTCCCTGTCTGTGTGTCTGTGTCTCATGGAGAGCAAGCTGGGGTATGCGAAAAGACAAATTCCTAATGCAAGAAATTGTAAAGGGTTAATAAAGTAATGTTGTTGTTGTTATTATTATTATTATTATTATTATTATTATTATTATTATTATTATTATTATAATCAGTGAAGTGGAATACCCCTACAGTCTTACCTGACTTGCTGCAGAGGGGCTAGCGCAGCATTTCCTATAGCAGGCCAGCATGTGTGCAGACTGGCTGACCAGGATCTCTCTCACTGTCTTCAGTGGCTGGTTTAGCATGGCACGGTAAGCTTGGGAGAATGTGTGCAAGAAGGAAAGAGTCATGCATAAAATACAATCAGTTGTATCAAGGCTCTCTTAAGAGATGGATTCTAGTATGCTTTGCCACTTCCTTTATTATTACAGTAATGTGCTCTTACAAAATGTCAGAGGCTGCCAAATTCAGAAGCATGCACAATCAAGGATTTCAGGATTCAAGTCATGTGTTTGTAGTTAAACAAATGTGACGATTTAGATTTTCAAAAAGGTGCCTTCATTAATTGTGTAACCTTAAAAAAAGATGGAATTTCTGCACTTGTGGTAACAATACTTAAAGTGTTAATGTATTTAAAGTTACATTTTATGTCCTGTCATTTTCAAGGATAGGTTGTATGGTTCAGGTTGTAATCTAGATCATGTACAGGTGAAACAGGGGGTGTACAGTAAGCACAGTAAATTGTGCCATTTATCATTTACAGTATAATTACAAGTAGTTTTATAGGAAAGTGTTCTGTTTGACTAATATAATTAAATATATTTTTAACTAAATAAATATAAAAACAAGCACAGTAATTCATGTACCAGATAATTTACTTGTGAATTCTAGAGATTCCTTTTCACAATTCTGTTAATACTTAAAAGTGCTAAAGGTGATATTTCTACAGAATGTCAACCTATTATGGAAAAGAAGCATTTTCTATTTTTTTACTTGTGCCATATTCTGTTAGATGCATTATGCATGATTCTCATTCCTTTCTGGTAAGATGGTCTTTCATGTTAAATTATTATTCTAGTTGTGTAACAGAAAATAATAAGGGTAAATTTGTCAGTGTTGCACAGGCTTATTCATTTCAGAGAGCTTCCAAATGTGCTTTCAGGGAAGATATTCCCTTTCTCCTCCATTCTTCCTAGCAAGAACTAAAAGGAATTTTTGCTAGCTTTTCAGGGAGTATTTCAAAGAAAATAGCACAGGACGTTTAGCAGAAAGAACCGTCACATTACTCATTGCACATACTGTAACTCACACTGTGATGAAATAAAAGCAAAGTGCAAAAAGGGATTAATTAGTCCATCAAACTGCCATGAAAAATACATTGTTAAAGACCTGGAAAATATGCACTTAAGTTTACAGAGATGTTGTTACCTGATTTGGCGAAGAAATTAATGAGCGCGTCTGTCTCGCAGCTTTTGTAAAGGTCAGCCAACTGTGAGGTGCAATTGAGGCTCAAATTATGGATTCGCAGTCGTCTCTGTCCACCGATTGTTGTATACAGTAAAGCACACTACAAAAAAAACACCATACAGTAGCTGTATACTGTACACCAAATAAAATTCCATGGGCTGTGGTTCCCAAAGGAGCTTCAACTTAAAAAAAAGGCCAAAATATTATAAACTGAAAATTAATAGGCAGCTATTATTTACTAACTGGATCTTGTGCTAAAATGTACTGTTCTAGTGTTTTATAGGTGCAATGTTTTTTTTAATATACAATAATAAAAACTGTCATACAGTAAATGTTGTACACTATTTATAGCACAACAGTTCCTTTGATGGTAGCAGTTACCCCTTCAAAAGAAAGAAATGAAGAATTACAGTTTTGTTACAGTGAATGAATCCCCAGTTCATCCGTTGTTTTAAAAAAATCAGCACTACAATCTCAGACTAACTTTTCACAATGCAAAAAAAACTACTCAATAACAACTAAATAACAGTGGAAGTAGGAGCATAAAATACTGTACAAACGTTTACATTCACAGGTAGATTTCTACATGTAGACGAAAGGTGAAAATAATTTGCGGGCCTTTAATCTGCCGTTATTGTTCACTATGTTCCTCTTAAGCAAAATTAATTAAGTAAAACACAATTGAAATGCGATTTCATCTCTCCTGATTTACACAATGTAGGCCTGGGAGCCCTAGCAAAAGCACTTGTGGTGTTCAAAACCGTAACAGTGTCTTACTCATATATTAATATACCTGTACTAAGGCTCCTGAATCTTCACTGAGTGTGTCATCATGTTTGAACTCAACAGTGACTGCTTTGTCACAGTCCACTCCTGCCATCTCCACATCAGTGGTGTTGTTCATATAAATGGCACCAAAGAAGTCAGTGGCTCTGAAGCCTAAGAAATCAGAAGCATACACAGAAAAGCATTTGATAGCAGAAACACATTACTTTAGAAAACACTTCTAGAAGCATCTTAGAATTTTAACAATCATTCATAAATTATATTCAGTGGAAATATCTGTTTAAACTTAATATGGATCATAATATATGTTTTAGAGTTGTATTAGTCCTGAGTGTTTACTGAGACAATGAATATTTTGCTAAAAGTAATAATTACAACAATATTAAATCACATACAGTTCCACAGGTACTGTACATCCAGGGCCCATTACCTGTGCTTGTCCTAATGCGCATGATACCATCAAATCCTATTGGCTTTTCAACATCTTTTCTTAGGTCACTCAGAAAATGCTCCCCGTCGGCCTGGATCTAAGAAAGAAAGTGCAATTATTTTTTGCCCACTAGATGGCAGCACAGTAACTCTTATCGCATACTTGAATTAAAACGTATATTTTATACCTTTACTTTTGAGAAGCCATGCAGATATAAAAAAAGACAAAGATACAGTGCAATTCCTATGTTATTATCATTATTTAATGGCACAATAATAAATTAAATACTCATTAAAATAAATTGTTCTGTAACAAAACCTAAGAAATGACCACATAACATTGACGATTCAAAGCATAGCTTACAAGTTCCTAAGCCTGTAAATATACACATACTGAGTAAACATGTATTTCAAATTAAATAGCTGTCACAGATTTAGTCTATTTGTCTTTACCAGGTACTCAAAATGAACACTCCTATAGTTTAGAGTGAGAGCTTAAATCAGCAGTCAAAAGAATATTAGGAATATTAATAAGCTGTTCATCCACCTGCTGTAGTGTGATGACTGGAACCATTGTATGATTTCTTATTCCATCTTTCAGACAATATTAACAGTTTACCTGGAAATTGCTGTATTTGTATAGAGTCCCTCCGGTGTGTAATGGGATGGCCCCCAGGGTGGCCACATCCACATACTGGGTGGGGAATAGGAACAGATCCACACAGCAGCTGCTGGAGACGCACTCTTTGGTGAGCTGCTCATAAACACCCTTCTGAGGCTGGAACAGAATCTGTGGAGCAGGCACTAAGTTTGTTATGTATTTCATTCTGACAGATTAGAAGTTTTTGTTTGAGACTGATAATCAAAAAAGTTGGTACTTTCTTAATAGCATCATTGAATTCAAACCTATTTTCCTAATGAGTGTCACAGAAAACAGGACCCTATTCCAGAAAAACTGCAAAGCCTGTCTATCGTAGGACAAAACTATAATTATTGCAATTAATCGAATGCAAATATGAAATCTGATCTGCTATTTATTAAGTTTAAATAAACCATTTTTTATATACCAAAATATGGCACCTGTTACTCAATCCTACAAGCGTTTTTACTGCCCTTTTTCATATACTCCTATAATCGGCCTGTCACCGTGTGCAGGGATTATTGTTAATGGAAAACACAGCTATTTCTAATAACTCTCGTTAACTCTCATAAAAACACACCTTCTCTTTTTCAGTGTTCACAAGCTTCCTGTCATCCCTGTTCTTCAGTTTCCCAGGGGCCTCAGCAGTAGGTAAGGATGAGTGAAAGATGAAGAGTTTACCACTGCATTCTGCTGCCTAAGAGGAGAGATTAAGATGGATTGGCTTTGATCCATCTTGAATGCCTTGTTTAGGTTTTACAGAAATTCAGCTCTACTCCCAGCAAAACTTTACAAAATATTGGAAGTGTTACAAATCCTGTGTAGACAGTTATGTGTCACAAATAAAGTGCTGAGGCAGTTTTACCAAATACAGGTGTAGTTAATGTATTATGCACTTGTGACCTTCTGAAAGGATTCATACAGTATATATATACAGTACTTAATACGCCTTGTTACCCAGTTTTGTTAGAAATGGTCTTTACTATTCATTCATTTTAAGTAACTCAGTCCATTACAGGGTCTTGGTGAGTTGGTGACTTACATTGTACAGTAGATAACATTTACAAAGAAAGGACACACTCTGTATGGGATGCCAGTCACATACTGAGGACATTATGTCCAACATTCAACTCATGAATATTTCTGGGGTGAATCCTGAAACATGTTTTTATATCTGAGACATCTTTTTGTGGTTTATTCCCAATCAAATAAAACAAAAAAAAATATGAAGTATAAAATTCTAGAGTTTCAGAAAAAGAAGCTAAAAATGCTGGTGTAGTTTGTTGCCAGATGCAGGTATGTGTGTTCTTTAGTTTAATTACTCGCATTTAATCAACAAGTATTACTTAGTAATGTGCTATTAAATTCCAAACTAGCTGGCATTCATCATATATTAAAAATATAATTAATGACTTACTTATAAAGTCCTAACTTAATTTCATAAGCACAACAATCTGAACAAGTGCAGTACATAAACGTAAAAATACAAAGAACTCCATCTTATACATTCACAATTTACCAGCAATGGTAAATCAAGAAACTGTAAAAGAATCCATAAGAACCACTAGTTATTTAAAACAAAACATAAATCTCATTAAGAAAGCAATCATAATCAAAACCAGCAATCATGGATACATGTTACTGGTCTTTTTATACCTTTTTTTGTTTTAAAAGTACAAATACTAGGAGCTGGAATCAACTACAAAGACTTCTAATTCTGCCTTCCGTATACATGAAGTCTGCAAGCACAGACTCATCTGCATTACACAGATAACACTAATCAGTGAAATGGGCATACTGAATTAATTTAAAGGAACATACTGTATCTATAGATACTGAATTAATTTAAAGGAACATACTGTATCTATAGAGGTCTGCGAGTTTCAATAGGAAAGTTATCTTCCCTAACCTTTAGAGCTTCCATGCCAGCCTGGATAACAGGGGCGAAAACAGTCTCGCTTTCATTGGTATCTGCAAACATCTCTGGAATTTGATCCAACAAACTAAAAAAGAAGAAGAAATTAAATCAGTAATATAATTAAAACAATACAGGAAATTACTTACTCTCCTTACTCTTACTTAGTTTGTAGCCAGATACTGTGATAGTCTAAGCTTGGTCTGCAGTATAAAATAAGCTGGTCAAATCTGTACAAAACATTATATTTAACCTAATTTAATTTAACATTATATTAAACCTAATAATATTAAAACTGTGAGACTACAGTTAAGGTAGCGGTGTAAGTTAGCAGTGTTCGGGAGGATATAAATGGTCAAGCACTTCTAGAAAACATTTTAAGTGACGACATGATAGGTATGTGTAACACAATACCTAAAAGAATATTTATAATTATAAATTTTAATTTTACATTTATTTCTGTAAGCAATCAGTCTTTTTGCCAAGCACTTCCATTAGCCACACGGCAGAAAACTTTTTTTAAAAACTGGAATGGAGCTTGCAGATGATGCTGAAAAGCTCTTTTTGCAAAACTATCATGCTCCTATTTTGACGAAACCCAGAAGGATATCAGTGCGAGCCAGAGCTGAAAGTGCATGCATCTGTATTTTCTCAAACCCTGCAGGTAAAACCAGGGACTTTTTTAAACTGTACTGTGCATTTTGACACATTATTTATGTGCCCCATGCTGGTTACTTTTATTAAATAACAAATTTTTTTACACTTCGTACTTGTTTATGACGGATCGCGATTCGTGGAAGTTAACGAGGAAGCCATCGAGGAGAGGCACAAACATCTCTGCCACGTCAGATACCACCATCATCTGAGGCTGGGCCAGGTTGCTCTTCACGTTGTAGAAATGGAGAATCTTGTTGTAGGTAACAAAACCGACTTTGATAGCTGAGCTTTCTGCATGCTCTTCTCTAGAGGAGACAAAAAGGTTAAGTAATCTCTTTCTCGTGAGACATTCTCTTATATATTGTTAAAAGGGAGAGCATCCTTAGCACGCCGACAGTAAAGGGAAAAAATAGAAGTTAATTTCATGCTGAAAACAAACTTTTTCTTTTTTGTTGTCTTTGTCTAATGTAAACATTCCGGGAGAATGCTACCGACATTTATTTTTTGTTAGGTATGCAAAGTGGCCAAGGTACTGTATACTTTCTGTGCAATTCTAAAAAAAATGATTCCACAGAGAAATGGTTGGGAAGCAATTGGCACAATAACTTTTGAAGGTAACAGACACATATTGGAAAACTTAAATATCTATAATTTCTGTAGAGATAACCTGTAGAGTTTTTATTGAAATAATGTATACAGCTGTTTAACTGTTAAATTTGTATGGAAAAGCTAACAAAAGCCGCCTGTTCACAAGGGAGAAGACAATACTTAAATACTTCACATAGCTTTGTGGAGGGTGAAACAGCAAGTTTCAATACTACAAGCAAAAGTAGTATTGAGACAAACTTCGGAACTGAAAGGTCTGACTCATTGTTGTAGGTCTTACAGTAAAAGAGCATGAAGAGTTCAAAGAGAAAGAGAATGCTTTTTGGAAGGACAATGCTAAAAAACAAACAAGTTAACTCAGATGGTTTCAATTAATAGATGTTTTATCTTGCATGTCATGAGACTGTTTTGGAATCACTCATTGCCACATGGCCAAACTAAACATTATACATCACAGCTGACAGGTTTCTCTCTTTCCTTTGGGAATAAGTTTTAAAATGACTTGTTAAACAAAATCTTCTTTATAAAACAAATGGGGCTTGGATTATACAATACACAGAAATCACTGTTCTATTTTCTTCATTATTTTTTAAATAAACATAATTGTATACACAAGTTTATAACATCTAACTGTTTTGAATGTTCCTGTTTTATTCTAAGTCACAAAAGTAAAATATTACACAAAGCACAAAATCAAGCACACAGAATACTAAAACTATTTTAGTACTTATCATCTTTGGATGTTTACACGATATTTTGTAGTTTATTTAGTCTTTCATTCTTCTGAAGAATTCTCAGTGCAAAAATTAAATAAAAACATTGGTACAGGATATTTGTAATAACATTGTTGTTTCCGATATTCAGTAAATAACAAATACAAATACAGTACACATAAACACCTAGAGGCATTATACAGTATTTGCAATAAATGATCATTGGTAACAATAACATTTCTTGTATTTCTCATGCCTCTATAAACATTTTCAGCAGAGCAACTGAATCACCCTTGGACACTAAGGGAACTGTTTTTTTTATAAGATTTGATTTAAAAGCATGTTTATTGTTATTGTTGAGATACTGGTAACTCTTACAGTAAGTAATGATGATGTGTTGAACTGAAGGTTGTAATACTAGTGGTTTGCTATCCTAGATTGCTTTTACAACCTGTGACCTTTCCAGCAGGTCATACATTAATTTCATCTCCTCGAAGAGTTACAGAACATGAAAAAGGTGGGATGTCAAATGTGGTTTTCATTAATAGAGCTACCTCAAAAGATATTCAATATTTCAGGCTTCACTATTATTCCTGGTGATAAAACCTTTCATAAAAGTATGGGAACATTTCTGCCCAATAAGTATGGTATGTTCACAGCAACAGGGGTAAAACATTTTTCTTAAAGTAAAAACAATAGTTAGACAAGTCATTTTCCATCTCCATAGTGTTAAAACTTCACTTTGGAATTCTTTTAAAGCACATCAATACAGAGATAGCGAAAATGGCATTAAAATTCTGAACATAAAGGAAATTAGACCTGGGGATTCCAAGACAAAGGACCTTAAAATGCAAGGATGCTTCTTATTTTTAATTGCCACTTCATATTTTATACCAAGAACAGCGCATAAAATTATCTCGGTTGTAGCAGAAGGAAATCTGTGTTGTGCATCATATCTTCAAATCCTGGGTAATTATATGTCTTTGCCAGCCTAACATTTTGAAACAGGTGTTCTGGCGGAGCCTAAAACGATATTTCATACTGTACCTCTAGGGTTTTAACTGAAGAGCATTCCTTGAGGATACAATTCTGACAAATGAGGAACAAACCACCCAACTATTTCCTGGGATAAGGAGGAGCATGGTATAAAAGGTTCAATACACCTGAAATTGTCTTTTACTGTGACACAGACCAGTAATTAGCAAAATAAGCAACAGCACATTTCATTTAAGTAAGTCTCAAATCTCCTGTAGCTTTCAACAGTTGCCAGGAGTGTAATCTTAAAATACTGGGGACTATATAACAGTTCTGAAGAGATGGCTAACCATCTGTACCTATCTTAGAGAGACTGAGGAAGATGTACTGTAACAGTAAACAAGTTTTTAAAGAGGCCAAAAATAGTTCTGCTCCAGGTGGTTGCATTAAAGTAACGAGACAGAGTCAAGTTCAGATTGTAAGGGAATGGGAGATCTGCTGTAGGTGGACCAGGAGGTGGCACTCTTTCCTTCTACAATACCCAAACCAATTCCCTAGCAGGATGGCTAGCTACACTGTGTATACTGTAGGTGTCCTTTGGAAGAGATATTAACCAGTGAGCTCTTATAGCCTTTAAAGATCCCAAAGTATACTGATAAGAGTAGAGGCATTACTCTGTCTGCTGCTTCTTCATCAGATCTATCTAAATATCCTCCTTAATTTAAGTAGTAAGGTAATTTCTCACTCATCCACTTGATCTGGTGTATAACGTAGTGTGTAGACTTCCTTAAACATCTGTCCCCTTCTTTGGAATTATTCTAATTAGGTTCACGTCACAGCTGTGAATTGTGGATAAGTCTTGACATGAACCCAGGACTGTATAACTAACTACATTGAGACTCTAGACAAGGGTTTCTATCACCTGCAGGACTTTCACCAAAGAATGGAAATCAGGAGCCATTTTCTTTATCTGTTTCAAAACACACTATATCCGATGTCAAGAGAGAATTTTCCATTTTAAAACTGCTATCCCAATATGCTGCAATTTAAATACTACCCTGCAATAAATGTCTTATTTGTGTCCCTTGCTTAATCAAATTTCAGAAAGAGGTGGTGAACATTTCCACATAAAGTAGCACCAACCTGTTCTAAATTCCTAGTATAAATCCTGACATGAAAACTGTAAAGGCTTATAATAAAATTAGGGTGTGTGCTTAGGTTACAGCGCACTGCATCTGTACTTTCCTTGGCTTCAGATACACAGTAGATAAGAAACAAAACAAAAAACAGATTTACCTGGGAAGTTTCTCCAACAGTGTTTTTAGTTCATCACATACCAGTTTCACAAGGCCACTCTTTATGTTACTATATGACACATCAATCATAAAGATGAAAGCAGGAGGACTTGGTGGTCTGTTATTCTGTAAAAAAAAATGAAATTAGGAAATAAGTTTCTTGATTGCCACTTTTCATGAATTCTGTATGTTCACAGCCAACCTAAATGGATTAGCCCAGAAGGCCCCACTTTAAAAATTTGGAAAGATTTATTCCATAGTTCTTTAACCAGCAGTTATGTTTAGGGAACTAACAATAGGAATGGATGGCTGTGGCTAAATATAAATCTATAAGCAGAGATGATGTATCATCAAATGCAATTGTAAATTCTAGAACTTAGCCAAATTCTTAAAAAATAAATATTTAAAAATGCAGGGCACTTCCTTTAAAAGTGATGTGGCACTTTTAACTGAGCACAGTTATTAAACAATTGCCTTTTAGGTCATGCGTAATATTCACTGCAGCCAGAAATCTAAACATTAATAAACAAGCTAGAAACAAAAGCTGGACAACGAAGTGAAACCAGGCTTTCTGCCTCCTAATAAAAACCCACACTGATTCCAAGGGTAACAGGCCAGAAGGCACAACAAAACAAAAGCTGCAATAGTTTTAAAAGCAGTTTTCAGGTAGCTGAAGGATAATATTCTAATATCACAAAAAACTAAGTTATATGTAGAAACAGAAAGACTAGCATTTTTTTTTTGCTTGTTCTGGGAAAAAAAAAATAATACAGTGTGCCAAATGTACACCTACTACAGCTGACCTCCACCTCCAGTACAAAAAAGACTGGAATCTCAAAAAGCTTTTAAAGCAAGAAAAGCATTTGAAACCTGACTATGAGTTTCTAAAAACAAGGTAAAAAACCTACCATGAGCAGCTTAATTGACACTATGTGCCCAATACAAAAATACTTTTGATTTAACATTTCATCATAATTTCTATTTACTGTATAAGCAAAACAGAGAATATGAATTAAGAAATTGCTTGGAGAAAACGCAAAGACAAATAACTAGCTTGCCTAGTAACCTTGACTTTGGTGAGCTGCAAATATAAACAGTACCACTACCACCAGAACATAATACACATACAGTAGGTAGTCCTTAGCTACCACTTGAAAATGTATGTTTAACACTTTTAACTGAATTTAGCTTAAGTATTTTTCTTTAACTATACACATATGGCAGGTATGGGAAAAATAATCAGGCAATTAAAAATGCATTGGTTTTTCACTATACTGCATTCATTAATGACAATGTAAAAACTGTTTTATCCAATTACCGATATCCATACCTTGCAGTAATCCAAAGTAGCCACAAATTCATAAGATCCCAGTGATAATTCTGGCCTCTCATAGAAGTCAACCCTCCTGCCAATGTGATCCAGATGCTGGAAATAAAATGGTGGCACTGCAGGAACACAGAAGCTTTTTTAAACACAATTACAACCTCATAACTCTATTAAAAAAAGAAACCCTTTAAGTTCTATAGATCAGTGACAAGAGTGAAATAAAAATTCATATTGCAATACAAATTTCTGGTTAAGGCATTACAGTATTGATGCACTTTTCTTGCAGTCTGCGTTAAGAACATGATCATCTTAAATCCGTATAGAACAAACTTTGTCCTAAGGAAGAATGAAGTAAGTTCCTGCTGTGTTCACATCCCCAGCCACAAGTATGATGTCCTTTAAGGCCAAGGAAGTATATTTTAAGCCAGCTACTCTGAGACAGATGGAAATACAGGATGATAAACACAGCTGTAAAAATTATCAAAACAAAAAAATCTAAAATAATGCTTTTATCATCCTCGGTAATAATAATAGTAATGCACTAAGATTAAAATGGGACAGAGATTAAAAGCAATTAAACCTCACTGACATTGACTATATATAGCCGGAACACTTCTAAGTTTAAACAATAAGATCATTCAAAAGTGACCTGATAGCATTAAGATAAGTTTAATCTTACGCATTGTTATTGCAGTCTGAACACTTTAATGATCTTACATACTCTATGTGGGATGTTAATTACACAGAGTTAAGCACATGCCTTCATACTTTTAAAAGTTTGCTTAGTTCCTTGGCCAAAATAGGAAAAAAGCTGAGTTAAGACTTGCATTGATCAACATCCACATCGGGAGTACAGGAATATACTGTATATCAATTACACTAACATAAAAGAGGAATTCATTGAACTACAAATGGATGTTTTAGTTTTAGAACTCAATTCGCCCTTTATAAATCTAGTCACCAAACACAGGAGGGGTAAGAATGCAACAACAGTAACAAAAATATCTTGCCTGATCATAATTTAGATTCAATGTTCAGGTGAAACACTTTGATTTAGTACTTATGACACTGTTATGAGTGTAAGGCTGAAATTCTGAATAAACCACGGCATCTTATTTTGAATAATTTCAAGTTCTAGTACAAAAAAAAGTAATGAAAGAGGGGGAGAATGGTTTGCCAAGCCTGTGCACAAGACAGTGTAGCAGGTGACAAAGTGCTACTGTACGCTTTCTTGAGAAAAACACCCATCACTCGTGCAGGGTGGGGACTGACCTTCGTTCACACAGCTGCAGAAGCCGCACTGATATCGCCGACCGCCTTCAATGAACTGCATGAAGGGACACATGTAGGCTTTGCAACGGTTACAGCGAAGGGGTCCAGTCTCCCCATGGTTCACAACATGTAGCGGAGTCTATAGAACAAGACAGTTCACGTTAAACAACGCAATTACAATGATTAAATCATTTACTACATCAGAATGACACCCATTTAACATGGCATTTGGACAAAAATGACAATTCAATATTCTAATAAGTATACTTAAATGTCATGCAGCATCACCAACATTTAACATACAGTAAACTGTACATCAAAAGAGCAAATATTGAAAAGCAAATTTGCAAATAAGATTTTCTGCAGAATTTGTAAATGTTAATATGCATATCTTGCAAGAGAATAATGTTTTTTCACAGTATGGTCAAACTAAACAGTGCCTAAGATAAAAACTGTACAAACATGTGGAAGTATCATATATTATATTAAGACGTGCAATGTATTTTTAGCATTGCCAATCTGTACAAACAGCAAACCACCAAAGATCATTTAAAACTCACTGGCAAGTTATTTTATTGTATCATCAAATAAAGTTAAATAAACATGATGAGTCAGTCCAGCTGGTGCTGTCAAAGAAAAGACAAATTCAGTCAGCACTCTTGACTGCTGAAACAAATGAAGGCATAGCTGAAGGGCATTGCCTGCATACTGTCATACGTTGCTGGAAGGAAACAAAATTATTACCTGAGTAATACAGTCTCAGATAAACATCTCAGTGCATTCTCCAGGTTTTGCAATGCTTACTACTTAAATTAACTGTGATATTACTACTGAGGACATATGGATACAGTATATCCGATGCACTACAATGCACATACAGTACAGGCACTGTAGCATGTTCATGCTACTCATCATTTGTCATTATAATATGAAGTACCAAACAAAATATTCACATTTGAGTTCACTAATGCATTAATTTACCTGATGCTTTTGTCCAAAGAGACTTCACAATTTGCACCCATTTATACAACAGGGATTGTTTCTACTGGAAAAATTTGGGTGAAGTACCACATGTTTCCTCAATGATATAACAGCAGTGCCTCACCAGTGATTTGAACCCTCAACCTTCTAGTTACGAATCCAAGAAGCTTGACCACTGCTTTTCTGAAT